TAAACAGCAAATATCGATCGACAGGGTCTCTAATGTGCGGGCAAGTGCTGCCTGTTGGCCAATCTGCAGCAAGGTGCGCACATTGAGGCATGCCAATCTTAGTGAGACACGAGGACTCCAAAGGGAAACGGATGAACTGACGTTGTCCGCTTGGTTGAACATGGACTTGTCGACTGGATTGGAGCGAGGCCCTGGGATTGTGTGTGATTTGAAATTAGAAGACAAGCGACTATTAAAGTAAGCTGGGGGAGGGCCAAGAATTGGGGGATTGAAAATGGGGGGATATAAGTAAAGCTGGAGCGGGACGATAAGGATGAAAAAGCGCAAGAAGGGGTATAAGAAGACGGGAAGGCCTGAGCAGTAGCATCCATACCCCTATCCACCCTGCTCGATGCAGCAGATAGGGCGCCGTTGATTATCCTCTGCGACGGCCAGAGCATCAAGAAAGTATTGTAGGAAAGGTTCATTGTATTGCGTGGGCAGAATACTGTCAGGTTGCCCAGGCCTAGACAGGAGAACGATTAGGGTCCTCAACCAAAGCCTTTCGTTCAAAAACCTGTCCGCAAGGCAGCGGGTTTTGGCACTGGACTACAGAGCCCGTTTTATGAAATGAGGAGCCACGCCCATTTCAACCCCCAACCTGGAGGACCAGGAGGCTGAGTTTGTCTGGCCTTTAACCATGGACCAATCTGGCATGAGGGGCTCTGAAGGTGCAAAAAAAATGCACCACCCAGCATAGCTCAATGGATCTCTGAGGCACGCAAACCATCGCACCACGGTAAGGTCCAGCCTCATTGCGATGGATCGGACACGAAAGCCGTAACACGAATGAAATCGATACTGATCATAAACTGTCCAGAGTGGTTCTCTCCATGTTGATCCAATCGATGAGATATGCTCGCAGTCTGTGCTTGGTGGACTTCAATGGTGAGTATAACAGGTGCAGTTCCATCTTCACGCGATCATCAGTAGCTCCGTCTGTTATGACGCTGCCAAAGGTATCACGGAACATTTCTTTCAATAACTGTCCGTATTTCCCCTACATAATGCGTTAGATCTAACAATGCTTTCACCATTCCTTACGTGTCTCTGAATAAATTCCCTCAACTGTGAGTTGTTAATAATCTTTATAGAAATATTCGCGCATACCATAGCAAGTAGAAATTCAGATACCACTATGTCGTTGGCATCCTTGGCAGTATTTCCAACGGCCATGTAACTGACGATGCTTGTTTGTCGAGCTTAATTCGGAACTGGTTGCCGCTGGGTAACGATTTAGCTCCTTACTCCTCCTTGTAGCCTTTTTTCTGAAGATGCTTCTGGCTGCAAATATTGTCAACCACGGTTGGTTTTCGAGATGGATCCACAGTGTCTTTGCACGAGTAACAAAATGGTAATCTATTATCCGCGTTCTCAACGTATTATTCTCCAGGAAACTTTTCACTAAGTTAGGAGCCGTTTTTCCTTTTAGGTGCCGTTTCACTTTCTGAGATGACATCTGTAACGTCTAAAACCTGTTGCTTATTTTGCTTAAAACAAAGGATAATTCAAAGTAGCTTTATTTATGAATTTCTCTTTTTTCTGCGATTCTGCGCAATTTGTACATCTTGCTACTTTTCTGCGTTTTTGCGGAATCGCGATAAACTGTTGTCTGCAATTATGACCATTTTTTCGTAAAAACACTGTTACTCCATGTTAGTCTGTACCTTTAATCGTACGGGAAAATGTTCTTGCAACTCGGATCGTTTCGAGTACATTTTTGCGCCGACACTACACGCGTTGGTAGTTAGTTTTGTCACAGTGTGCGTGATGACTGGGGTCAGGCAAAATCCCACGCTGCACATAACCTACGTGATTAACACAACTGGTGTGCCTTTGTCGACGTGCCAGCACGTCGTGACGTGGCAGCGAACCTTTTCCTATGGTTTCTCCGTCTTGCGTATTTGTGGAGGATATATTTTGTGGCTATTTCGAGATAAATACAATGAGAGAACAGTGGAAAATTTTTATGGTTTACCTTTTTTCTTTATGTTCTCTGCTTATACCCCCATCGACCTAAAAACTGGTAATCCGTTTTAACCTATCATGCGATTCTCCCCAGTAGATTTTAGGAACTATCATGTCCAATACTGAAAATGACTAGTAGCTTTCCAAATTATTTGCTTATGTTACACAAGACGGCGTACTTAACCATGAAGATGTCAAATTTTATATTTGTTTTGACATTGTGGAATCGGTTTGTATTTCATAGCGTAAACAACTCGGATAGGTTCTTTCGTGTATCAGCTTTTATAAAGTAGTATTGATCACACGGGTTCTAATCGGAATTGCTGAGAACGCGTTCTGTGGCTTCAGATAACCATCTCAGTATGTGGACAATCGGCTGAACTTCCTCTACGACTTATCTTGAGTTTTTAGGTCGCTGCTCTGCACGTTGTCACAAGCTGCCCCACTGTATTCTAGGGTGGAATGGATGAGCATTTTAAAAGACTCAACTGTTCTGCAAGTTGTATGGATTTGCTTACGTCACAGAACGTTTCACCTGCACTGTAGCCAGTCCGTAGCCTTAAGGATCACAAGCCTGCCTCGTAATCCGAGGGCGCTGGTTCAAGCCTGCGTAGTGACCGGGGGACTTTCGAAACATCCTTAGCCCACGTGCGACTGATGATGTTTGCGCGGCAGCGATGCGTTGATACCGCGTACCGGCGTATTTCTGATACCATTCTTTCTTCATTCACCTGCGCTGTTTCCTGCTCGGACTGCGCAGAGAAGTTAAAGGTGATGGTACATCTGTTTTCGAGATGGCTGTTAGACACCTGACGTAGACATCTTCGCCTTTCTACCTAATAGACCCTCCATAGCTTGAATAGGCGTAAAGCGTGTGGCTCAGTCTGTTTTCTCCTAACACAACCTTCTACATAGCATATCCATTTTTATATGAATTGGAGCCATCTTAGTTGAGTGATTATGTGTTATGTATAAAATCGGAGGACTACTTTTACAAGCAAACTGATGACTTTGACATTTGGCAGAGTCGCATTGCGTTCAGTGTTCCCGTTTACATGCCACCGCTGGAGATCTAATGAAGAGATGTGTATTGACCCCTCTGAAGGGACTCCGAGATCACTCCTTCAGTTACTGGGGATAACCAACCTGGTAACTCAAGGGCAAATTTATCATTGCATGGTAGAAGTCTTCAGATCCTACACCCCTGCACATGTAACGCGACTGACACGCGCTTGTCGAGGAATTAATTGCTTCAGTCGTTTAGCATGTCACCTACCTTTCATCGTCGGCGAAAAGAGCGACCTATGAATGACCCTCTGGTATTTCTAGCATGCACAACACCAAGTTTGACTGCTGGACAAGGGATCTCGTCCTTCGTCACTGCCTGTCATCCAAAGCAACTTTTCCATGCGGATTGCTGATACTGTACCTTGGGGAATAAAATGATGAACTTTTGGTCTGACTTTAATATTCACTTCTGTATTCAACCTGACAATACAGGGTTCCACTATTTGTATTTCAAGTTACTCGGCTTTAAGTATCATAGGGCAATACAAACGGAATTATTGTGGCTACTTATGTATTTCAACCCCATATCACACCACAGTGGCTCCGCTTCTTCTTGTTATTTTCATCAGTTCACATCATTCTTCAATCCACTTTCCCAGTAGTACAATCACACTCCAGTAACAGTTTATTTCGACTTTCGCTAGCCACTTCTCAGCTTACCACTGTCAAGTTAGCCGCTGACAAACCGACATTTGGACTCCATGTTCATTTGTAACGGCAATTTTTAAAGTGCCTCACGTCACTAGGACTGTAATTAACCCACCTCCACATTTTGCTCATGGCGATAACAAGTGAAGTTACTCTGTCCGAAATTGTAGTTCGCAACACCGTTTGCCTTTTTAGTATCCAGGATTGTCAGACTCAAATCCCAATGCACCCCACCTATTTTTATTTTAAAAATGACGTTTAAATTACTCTTCAGGTTCGCTAACGCGATACATTACTTGAACTACTCAACGAGTGCGTTGCAACTGCAGAACGTCCTGAGGGCGCAAGATGTTTGCAGTCTTTATCCACAATGCTTGTTACTTAGCTCCTTTTGTTCTCTTTATTCATCACTATTGATTTTGACTTGTTCAATCCACTGCATCGCAGTTATCATCAGCTCCGTAGTGTTGTTTGAAATAATTGCAGTTTCTTTCTTGTCGCGCTGTCTCCGCATTACTCACTCCTTAGCTGCTTGGTACAACTGATTCAGCATTGTCTCGACGATCTGGCACGCTTCGACTCGTTTTTCACCTGCCGCTATGTTCCATCACCTGTCTACATCTCGCCTGTTTAGTGTGTTAAGTATCAGCATTATGACCTCTGTCGCATGCAAAGTACGGCTTATGAACTTTCTTAACGTTGATTCAACATCGACTCTAGCTTGCTGCATCGATTGCTTCTTTCTTATTGATCTACTTCATTGCAACTTCGTGTCTCTGTGCGCCTTCACCATGCGGGTAGCACCTTTGATGCACACTGCCTGTCGTTGTGCTTCTTCGCTTGATCAATAAGGACTTGTGCGTTTGCTTGGTTGTCTTTCATGTCTTTGCATTCCCAGTTTGTCATGGTCTTTTAGATCTCCCCGACCTCATACACACCCCGTCAGGCACCAGCCGTGGAATTTATTATTATTATTATTATTATTATTATTATTATTATTATTAACATTGGCCATACTTATTGTTTTATGGTCTACACAGCAGCCTCGCGCAATAGGTATACCTTCAAAGCTTTTTGCTCCAGGCTTTGGATTCTGCCATCTATTTTGTTGCACTGTAGTCTTTAACCTGTGTGAAATAACTGAATCTTAATGATCTCGATTCCCTCTAGTCGAATTGGTATGCATTTGTCGTTTGATACAATTGGTACGGCTGGTCACTACTGTTGTTATCTCGTACGGTTGACTAGTAAGCCGATGTTGCCGCTTTCTTTTTCAGGAAAAATCGCTGTCTATGGGAGATGGCATGCAGGACCATATTACTACGCTGGCGCACTGGAACTGCCACAAAAAGGCCCCCGGTAAGTCTGTGCTAGAGTGAAACATTCTACACTTTCCAACTCTTTACTTGTTCTCTTAAAAGCTTGCGATTTATACTCTTCCTCAACCAGTTGTTGACTACAACGTTTGTAAAAACATCCAACGACATCTTGACTCCTGCTTATTATACATCTTTTTTTATCCAGTCTGTTGGTTCACTTTGATGATGGTTCGAACGCCCGTCTTCGGCCGGTGGACATACTTCATATCAACTTGCTACCTGTGCAAACTGAGGTAAGTATTCGCCTTATGCTATGTACAGTATCCAGGCTTGTGTCTTCGCCTTAGTGATATCATCACACTGGTCCTACGGCATATATCACTTGTCTTGTGATTCCTTTCATTGTCGTCATGATCACTTTCTCTGACGCAAATGACAAGGTTGTCTGGTTTGGTGAATTGTGGGCCATCGTCGGACACTCACTAGCTACCCTGAATAGCTACTAAAGTCTCGAGATCTAAAGCGGATAGCCCACCCTATATGTTTCGAGCGTCTTGGTTAACTAATGTAACAGTTTACCTGCGAAACAGATGTTGGAATTCAGGCAATTCCTAGACATCCACTTTGCGGATTTGAGATACAGGGAGCGCATCACACCCGAATAGCATGCGGCGCAGCTGTAATCTGTGGCAGACGCTCAGGAATCAGAGACGTAATTCTGCGCACGTGCCCGAATTGATTACTATGGAGCAACACAGACGCGTATCTATCGCCCTCTATTTTCGGTATCCAGTATTCGAGATAACGAAGCATAAATGCGGGATCAGTGCTTAATTTGTCGTAGCTGGTTTTGGTTTGGCATTCACTGATTCGGTTTTCACATGGCCTGATGATCGACCGCACGATGACATCTGTTAGCTGGTTGGGTTTAGAGCGTATTCAACAGTCCCCAATTGTACTAATCCAGTATCGAAATAGGATATCCTGCTCAACCGACGGTTCCGAACAGAGGTGCGCTATGCACGACCGGTGCGAATGCTCGATTTAAGTTCGGTGCAGCCCATTTTACGATGAAGATCGTGCATCTTTGAATGAGAGGCTCTGGTCTCAACTCGTCCTCCATGTGTCACGTTCGCCGCACAGCTGCGGTAAACAGCCCATTGTGAGCATGGCATATATATATATATATATATATATATATATATATATATATATAAAGTATTAGTACAAAATTGCAAACCCACCACCTTAAATAAGGAGACTTAGCATGCAAGCACGCGGTTAGTATATCGAATGCAGCGTACCTACAAACGCTGCGCCGGTTCTACCTACGTTCTCAGCTGGACTCGTCCTCGTTTCGGTGTTGACCCCGAGTGGCCTCGCTCATGGTTCACTAGGCCTGCCTCACCATGGCAATGAGGCTGGACCTTACCATGGTGCGATGGTTTGTGTGTCTCAGACATCCATTGAGCTATGCTGGATGGTGTTTTTTTTGCACCTTCAGAGTCACTCATACCAGATTGGTCCATGGTTGGAGGCCAGACAAACTCAGCATCCTGGTCCTCCAGGTTGGGGGTTGGAATGAGGGTGGCTCCTTATTCCTTAAAACGGACTCCTTGTAGCCCAACGCCAAACCCGCTGTTTTGCTGTCAGGTTTTTGAACCAAAGGCCTTGGTTGAGAACCCTAATCGTTCTCCTATCGAGGCTTGGGCAACGTGACAGTATCCTGCCCACGCAATACAATGAATTTCTCTTCAAACTGTTTCTTGATGCTCTGTCCACCGCAGAGGATAATCAACGGTGCCCTATCTGCTGCATCGAGCAGGGTGGATAGGGGTTTGGATGCTACTGCTCAAGCCTTCCCATCTTCTTGTTCACCCTCTTACGCTTTTTCTCTCTTACCGTCCCGTTCCAGCTTCACTTTTATCCCCCCTGTTTTCAACCCCCCAATTCTCGGCCCTCCCCCACCTTGCTTTGCTAGGCTTTTGCCTTCCAGTTTCAACTCACATGTGAACGCGGAGCGTCATTCCTGTCCTGTCGACAAGCCCATGTCCAACCAAGCGGCCAAGCCCAGTTCATCGACTTCCATTTGGAGCCTTCGATCATCCTTCAGATTGGCATGCCTCAATGTACGCACATTGCTAGAGATCGGTCAACAGGCAGCACTTGCTCTAACATTGGAGATCATCTCGATCGATATCTGCTGTCTATCGGAGACTCGCCTGCAAGATTCCACCTCTGTACTTACTCTGCGATCCTCTTCAGAAGACACTGGCAGTACTTTCTCATTGCGCCTATCCGGTGACGATGCAGCTTCGAGCACCGGCCAAGCTGGTGTTGGTACTGCCCTGGGTCCCCGGGCTGAAGCTGTTCTGGTTGATTGGATTCCAATCAGTAGCCCGATGTGTGCGGTTCGATTGGCTGGCTCGTTCAAAACTTCGAGGTCGCGTGTGACTAACGGGTGTCTATTCGTTATCGCTGCCTATGCACCGACAAACTGTAGCGATGAATCGGTAAAGGGAGACTTTTATCGCCAAATGAACGAGCTCCATAGCCACAAAAGAAGCTCGGACACTGTTGTGCTTGGCGGGGATCTGAACGCTCAAGTTGAAAAGTTGTCCACTGATGAATTGCGTCTGAGCAGCCAACATGATATAGTCTCCCATAATGACAACGGTGAGCGGTTACTTCATTTGTGTGAAGATCCTCGCTTATTTCTTGCGAGCACTAATTTCCGACACAGCATCCGCCGAAGGGTGACTTGGCGCCCACCAGTCTCGAACCAGCTATGGACGCAAATCGATCACATTGCGATGAGTTACCGATGGAGAGGCTGCCTCCAGAATTGTCGCTCGATTTGGAGCACAGGTGTGGACACCGACCATGCACTTGTATGTGCTGACCTGCGGATGCGCTTTGACGGACGCCCACGACGACGTTGTGAGCACATTGACACCAGCCAACTGGCGATACCATATGTTCTGAATGCGTATCAAAGTGCGCTGTCATGCGAGTTGAGTAAGCGCTCTCTAGATGCAATTCAAGGTCACTGGTCTCATATTCACCAGACCTTACTAGCAGCAGGCAAATCCTCATGTGGCATGTCTAATCACCAACATGGACATTGGGTCTCTTCGCGGTCTCTGGAACTTATCGACCCTCGCCGGCATATCTCAGCTGGAGGCGAACACAATGAAACTCGCAAAGAGCTCCGGTCAAAACTCCGTGCTAGTCTGAAGGGTGACTGCGAATTCTGGTGGTATAATCGTGCAACAGAGATGTAAATGGCTGCTGCCCTTGGTTACCATCTTAAATTATTCCGTCTGCTACGGGAAACGGGCAATAGAAGACCTGATGTTATTTAACTATACGTGACGAGAGTGGACAGCCTATCCACAACTTATCAAAACGCTTAGAGCGTTTGGCTGATCACTTTGAAAGTCAATTTAGTCGTTTGGAATGGTTAGATTTCGCGCAGGCCAGTGATCGCCCTGCTCCGTGGTCTGTGCCTTTGGATTCAACTTCTCGCTCAGAAGTCGAACGTGAGAACGAACTGTTAAAGTTAAATAAAGCCTCGGGACCAGATGCTCTACTTCCAGCGCTCTTCAGATTTGGGAGAACTGCTCTTGTGGATGATTTACACGAGTTACTAGTGAAACTGTAGGAGCAAGAGACTGTCCCAACCGATTGGAGCTGCTCCTTTATTGTTCCCATCTTCAAAGGAGGATCACAATCGGCATATGGCAACCATAGAGGAATCAGTCTGATCTCCATCGCCTCCAAATTGCTTGCCTTTGTCATCCTTCACAGACTGATTGGTACTCATGAAAGCCATATTCTTAAAGAGCAAACCGGGTTTCGTTGGGGTCGTGGCTGCATTAACCATATCTTCACTTTGCGTCAGTTATTGGAGCACCGTAACACATATTGGCGGCCCACCCTTATTGTGTTCCTCGACATCAAAGGTGCCTTCGATTCGGTTGATCGATGTGCCCTTTGGAATTGTCTACGCAGGTAAGGTTTGTCCGAGAAATATGCAAATATTATGCGAGCGCTTTATGCGCGTATCCCGGGCAGAGTGCGAGCTTACTGCAAGGTGTCGTCGCCCTTTAGTATTTCCAGCGGTGTGAGACAAAGATGTGCGCTGTCACTTTTCCTCTTCAACTTCGCTGTTGACGAAGTCATGGAAATCGCGTTCACAGGACATGCGTTGGAAGGTGTGGATCTGTTCCCAGGAGAACGACTTCTTGACTTGGAGTATGCAGACGATATTGCGCTCATCTGGAACAGCTCCCAGACGTGCCAAGCGGCACTGGACAGATTTGCACCGGCTGTCCGTCACTTCGGGCTCTGCTTTGCACCATCGAAATGCAAAGCGTTCCTCCAAGATTAGCAGGGATCGCCTCCTTCGCTGACTGTTGGTGGGGATCAGCTAGAAGTTGTTCGGAAATTCAACTACCCTGGAAATTGTATCACCGTCCGTTGGATTGAGAACGTGATCACGAACCGTATAGTATAAGATTGAGGCGCTTTTGCTAACCTTCGCCACTTATGGCGCCGGCGCGACATCACTCTTGTCCTGAAGGATAGAGTGTACAATGCAGCGGTACGTTCGACTTTACTGTTCGGTTGTGAAACCTGGTCCCTTAGATCAGCGGACATAAAGAGACTGGTTACGTTTGACCATCAGTGCCTTTGCAGTTTAGCTCACATCTGGTGGGAACACCGCGTGAGTAACGAGCGTGTTCGACGCCTTGTTTACGGCACAGGAAAAGGAAATGAACCGCTCAGCACCGTCATTTCACGCATCAGGCCTCGATGAGTTGGCCACGTGTTACGCATGCCAGCCCACCGACTCCCGCGACGTGCGTTGTTTGCGCACCGGGGTGTGGATGGAAGAAGGGGAGGGGTGGCCAAGCGATGACTTGGTCGAGAGGAATGAAGGCCCCCACTTCGAAGCTGGTCTCAGTTGGAGCGCCTCGGCTTCCTGCTTGGGGTCTGAAAGACAATGAACATGTTTGGCGGGATACGCTTGTTGAAATGGCAAGGAGCCGACCTCAGTGGCGTTCGTGCTGTGAGTTTGTTTGTTCCACCCCATCCCTCTTAGTCTCCCCCTCCAACCACGATCTCACTTAACAAAACCCGAAAATCTACTTCTAACCGCTGTGTCAAACACTGATTGCGGAGCTCAATGGCCTAGTGATCATGGCGATAGCCACCAAGCACTATGCGCCGAGTTCCACTCCCAGCTCGGCTATCTCTACCTGATGAGTCTAAACCAAGACGAAACCGT